TTATTAGCAAGAGTACATGTTTTCCCTTAGGTGTGTTGGAATATGAAACCTATTGAAAATCTTTGCTTGGAGATTGGGAATTTGGTTTTTGAGATGATTTTAAGGAAGGACTAGCCTACATAGAAGATGTTAGATCACTTTGGATATTAAATACAGGATGGCTAGAGATAACAAGATATTAAAAGCCATCATTATAAGCCAGGTGGGGTGTCTGAAGCAAGCCAGGCACATTGGGAAAGGAGATGAAAGGATGAATTCTAAGGATATTTAAGAAGTAACCAATAAAACAGAACCCAAAGAAACAGTGCAATGAAAATTCCTAAGACTCAGATAAACTGTTTTGCTTATAAGCCAATGGATAGATTGAAGTTCCAGCCTAACTTATAGTTATTAGAGGAACAGTTTCTGAAAGATAAACCTTTGATTTTGGAAGGGGGATTAGAAGGACTGAGAGGTTTGATCTAGCTAAATTGGCCTATTATAAATAATCTTTACAACACATGACTCATTGTATTTGAAGAGATAAAAATCCCTGGTGCCCTTTAAGCCACTAACTCAGATAATTATTTTGAAATAATAGGTAATGTAGAGGGAGCATACCTTCTTGAGAAAAAAATAAAAAACACATCTTTTGGGGAAAATTTTTTGCTTTTGGGCAGTGACTATTTTTTCTGGGAGAAAGTTATCTAAGAGGTGGTGAATTTGCTGAGTATGCACATTAAGTCCTAACCCCCAAAGCCACACGTCCACACCTGAGGTTCTTTCTTAAAGAGTCTTCTTTTGGGTGGTGTAATAATTTGGCTAAATTTCACTTCATCCAACATTTTTGAGGTGTTGAAATAGACAACAGAAACATATACAATAGAAAACATTGACTCCGTCCTCCTCTTTCCATTTATTTAGAGTTTCATTTTAAATAAAGACTAATCATTACTTGGTTTGAATAAAATCCCCATGTCTGGTTTCATAAAAATATACACGAGCACACTAACAGTCTAAATCTTGCTGTGAACAGCATGAGTTCTAACATGGCCATCTTTCTTTAGTTACTGATAAATTAGGCAGGATGGCAAAAATGTGAATTTCATGGTAAGATGGATGTTAAGAACCCATTGCCGAAGCAGTTCCAAGCCTGTCCTCCAGGGGTCCTCTAGCCCGGCCAGGCATCAGGAGACTTACTTAAAAATCAGATGCAGTGGGTTTGGGGTGGGACTCAGATATCTGAATTTCTCAACGGTGATTCTGTTCATTGTTAGAGGTTGGAAACCACTGTTGTAGTAAATGAATTTGCTAATTAAGTTCTGTCCTGCTAAAGAGATAAGCCCATGTATAGTTTCCAGTATCTATCAGAGAGAACACATGGCGTTTATCACAAACCCTACATGATTTGACAAGTGTGTCATGGACCAGAGAAAAAGCTTAAATAATTTCCCTGGGGTTATAAATATGCGGACAGCAAAGCTAGAGCCAGAGTTCACAGTCTCTGAATTTCTAGCCAGTTTTATGAGTTGAGATTGCTGTCATCCTTCATCCCATCTCTGATACAGTCAAGTGAAGTTAGGGTGAAGAAAAACAAAGAACCTCTTGGATGTGCGTGTTTTAAGACTTTAAGACTTCCTTGTTCAGTTTCAGTGTACAAATTCAGAATCTTGAGCATGATGGTTCTTTTTAAATTTTTAGTCATATTGCAAATAATGGAACTGTGAATTAAAAATAATTACAAAGCACAGAGGTCTAAAATCTGAAGGCACCCAAGTTTGATGATAAAGCAGGAAAGACAATAGAGAATACACAACTTAAGTCTCATGACTGGATGCAATTACTGGCCCTCAAAGCAAATAGTTCTGTCAAGAAGGATGAAGTAAAGGAAAGAAGTTCACAAGTTAAGTGAAGCAAATCCAATTTAATTAAAAAATATGACCATATTCTATCTACTGTTAATATGAATAGCCAATGCACTAAACTTTTGGCTATTGGCTATACATATACATTGACATCTCTTCATATGTTGTATGTATACAAACACAGACTCTGCATTGAACTGTGTTGGTGAGATTAGAGCAAAACAATGTTAAAAGTAAAATATATATATATATATATATATATATATATATATATATATATCTAAGCAACCGGCCAATTGGCTGGTATCTATGATGTGCACTGATCACCAAGGGGCGGAAACCACAGGCATGGAAACATGGAACAGACTGATGAATCCCTGAGGGAAGGGGAAATGGGGAAGGGCGTGAGAGATTAACCAAAGATCTTATATGCATACTAGAAGTCCGGTGCACGAATTTGTGTACTGGTGGGGTCCCTCAGCCTGGCCTGTGGGATTGGGCCAAAACCGGCTCTCTGACATCCCCTGAGGGGTCCCAGATTGGGGTTCCGGATTGCAAGAGGGCACAGGCCAGGCCGAGGGACCCCACCAGTGCATAAATCCATAAACCAGGTCTCTAGTTAAAGTTATAAAAGTCTTTGAACTTGGTGGTGAGGGGCACAAGCGGACAGAGCTGACCCTTGGCTTGGAGATTTGGGAGTTCTGATCCAACAGAAATGAATGCCCTAGTAGTTATGGGCCCAAAAAGGGGTCTAAAGGGTGTATGGATGGCAAAACATCTATCTGGTCCAGAGTGAAGGCTCTGCCTCCAGAGGCTGGCAACTGTCAAGGGGATCCCAAGAGAGTGCCTGAGGCAGTAGTGACATGAGAGAAGGAGAATCTCCCCAACTTCCTCCAAGTCTCTGTGTTTCAGGCTTAGTCCACTGACATAGGGTAGAGGGGTAGATAGGGGAGAAGTGGAGGGGCTGCCCCTAGGCCAGGGACAAGCCCAGCTCAGCCTCTGTTGGGTGAGGAGGGAGGGGCATAGGAACTGGTCTGGATCAATGGGCTCCCAGCAGGGAGTAGGGGGTGATGGGGGCAGGGTTAGGGTGGTAAAAACCAGGTGCTAGAAGAGCCCCTAAACTCCCCTCTGGAGGTTCCTGATGGGAAGAAAGAGAAACTTAGAACCAAGGAGCTGAAATCTATTGGGTATGGGCTGGGGATGGGGGAGACAGGTGCTTAAAGAGGAGGAGTGGAACAGTACAAAGTGTATTGGGGAGGGGGGGACCTGAATGGAAGGTATTGGGGGAGGTTGCTGGTGATAAGTTGGGGATGTGTGCTGAGGTCACCACATGTATTTTAACACAGTTCTAGGCATTGTGGGCTAAATGTAAGCAGCGAAAAGTTTATCCTATAAGGAATAATCCTTGACTTTAAGAAGTTTTCCTTTTACAATACTATTAAGTATTGCATATCCGGGTTCAGTCCCACTGTGAGCTTAATTAAGCTGCACTCCTCTCATCTTCAAACACAGCTGGGAATTTTGAGGATGAGGAGGGTGTTTCTGACAGGGGTTCTACAGGCAGGAGGACCAAGGAGCCTGCACAAATGAACTCCTGCTGAATGAAGAAGCAGTCACAGCCTAAAAACTCGGGGCTGAGGGTCCCAGCGCCCAAGTTCTACCCACTCACCGGACCAGCAGAAGCCTCACCTGGGAACTTGTTAGCAATGCAGACTATTGGGCCCTCCCCCAAGTCTACTGAATTAGAAACACTGTGGTGGGGGCCAGCAGCCTTAGCCTGCCCTCCAGGTGCTTCTGGTGTGCGCTAATGTTTGAGACTCACTGGCACACCAGAAGGCCCTGAGTCCCAAATACCCACCTGGGCTTTGACCCACTAGAACAGGGGTGGGCAAACTTTTTGACTCGAGGGCCACAATGGGTTCTTAAACTGGACCAGAGGGCCGGAACAAAAGCATGGATGGAGTGTTTGTGTGAACTAACATAAATTCAAAGTAAACATCATTACATAAAAGGGTACGGTCTTTTTTTTTTTTAGTTTTATTCATTTCAAACGGGCCGGATCCAGCCCGCGGGCCGTTGTTTGCCCACGGCTGCACTAGAATCACCTGGACACTTTAAAAGGCAGATTCCTCAACCACACCATGGAGTACCTATAGCTCAGAAGGTTACAACTGAGCAATTTAGATTTTTTTAAATTGCTAGGTGATTCTGTTATGCATTAAAGTTTAACAATGATCATCTTTCTAAGACAACAGGCCAAAATGAATGGAAAGATGTGGCCACCTTGTAGAAAGTTTCCTTTAACAAGTTGTGGAGATAGCGTACACCCACCTAAGAATGTGGATTTCAGAGGCAGACTGACTTGGGCTGAATCCCCAGAATTACTGTGAATCTAAGTGTCCTTATCGTAAAATGAAAATAAAAAGAGTCCTACCTTCAGACATTGTTATAAAGGTTGAGGTAATGCATATAAAGCGCTTAGCACAGTGCTTGACATGCTGTCATTATGGTAATATAATAGCCTTCTGAAATGAGACTGGAGGTTAGGGTGGGGTCAAATTAAGAAAAACATTGAAAGCTAGATCTTTTGGGTTGTATGGTGGTTGTATTAGTCAGGGTGCTCCAGAGAAACAGAACCAATAAGATGTATCTTTAAATAAATAAGAAAAAAACATATATATATATATATAATTATAAGGAATTGGCTCACATAATTATGGAGGCTGAGACGTCCCAAGATCTGAGGTTGACTAGCTGGAGACCCAAGAGGGCTGATGGTTTAAACTCCAGTCTGAGGACAGCTCAGCTTACACAGCCAGGCAGGCGAAGTTTCCTCTTACTCAGCCTTTCTGTTCTACTCACGTCTTCAATTGACCAAATGAGGCCCACCCACATTAGGGAGGGCGCTCTGCTTCCCTCAGCTGACCAACTTAAATGTTAACCTCAACCAGAACATCCTCACACACACCGAGAATAATGTTTGACCACATACCCGGGCACCCCATGGACCCATGAAGTTGACACATAGAATTTACCACCACAGAGGTCTCTGATCTGAGCCATTGGATATTTTGGGCTGATGAATGATAAATAGAAACCCGTGTCAAGAAAGGTGTTGAGATGGATAAACACAAAACAAAAAACTCAAACATTAGCTAGAATGCAAGTATACTTTACTTATATTCATTTAAAAACACACTATTAATTGTAAATATCATGAATTTCTGTGAGTACAGGCAAAAGTGCAATAGAGTATTTGACAAGAATTCTATTGGGCCTTAATCATAATAGGGGCAAAGGACTATTTGTGCATTTTGTTCTGTGGGCGGCTCCATTAGAAAGAGGCCCATCCATCAGCAGGAGTGCAGGAAGTCAGCAGAAGCGTCTCGGCTGAGAGATTCGAAGGCTTGACAGTGTATAATAGATGTAAGAATCGTCGAGAGGCACGGTCAGACACTCAAATGCATCTAATAAAGGAAATATTTTTAAAGGAAGAGATGTCACCCCTGAAGATAAATGAAGATTGTGTACTTTTATGGAAAGAGGTTTATAGAAACATTTGTCTTCATTCGTTATCTGGACCTTGTGAAATACATTTCATTATCATTTAGTACAAAAGAAATAGTCTTGGTGCCTTAATGTGCAGGAAACACGTTCAGTTAAAATGATACTTAGATTTGCGGGGATAGCTAGAGAATTTAGGAATTCTCTTCACCAGAAGAAATACATACATATAAATTTGTAAAAAAAAATTCTAAACTTGTAAATTTGAGAACTGGATTTTTCTATAAATATTAAAAATAAAGCACTAGAAAAGATCATCAGATCTTATCATCAACTTATTTGCTGGCTGGGGAAATTCAGTCCATGGGCAGTGACCTGGAGTGGCCACAGTCGCCCAGCTAGACAGTGACAGAAGAAACCCTTGGTCTCTGATGCTCCCTCCTTTTGTCCTTCCACAGTATCTCCCACAAGACACTTAGAATCTAGCAAGTACACTCACGTGGCAGACATAATCTAGATGTGTCCACTCACATTTTCTCATTTAGTCATTGAAATAGGTGTTGTTAGGATTTTGGATCCTCTTTTATAAGTGAGCAAAACTGAGCCTCAGAGAGAGAAATGATTTGTTCATGGGCACACATAGCTAGAAAGACATTCAAGTCAAATTCAGTCAGTTCTCTTGACTCTCGTTCTAGTCTTTTGGTTACCTCCCAAGAGTGAAAGAAAAATATTAACTTGCACTTGGGGACAGATTTAGTTTTCTTTATCTTTTCTTAATGGTAACATGCATTAATTTTTTCAATGTTAAGCTATGAATAAAGCCTTTAATTTTTTTGCATAATCAATGGTGGATTTTAAAAAATACTTCAACTAAGAAATTATGGTGACAAGAATGTTGACAATAGACTGGGATACTCAAAATATGTGGTCTGTCTGGCTGACCCAGAGATGGGAATGATAGTAATAATGGTTATTGACAAGGATACTTGACATATAAATGAAAGTACCAAATTTATTTTTAACTACATGGCATAGTTTTTTCCCTCAATTTTGTCCATTTTAATTTTATTGATTTTTAAAAACATCACAATATAAAAATGCTTTCCACAAGTGTTCCACTTGTGGAACTATATATAAAAAAAAAAAGCCTAATATGCAAATTGTCCCCAGGGGAGTTTGACTGGGAGACCGATCGCTTGCTATGACATGCGCTGACCACCAGGGGTGGCACGGAATGAAGGAAGGCCCAGATCAGCAGCCAGACAATCCCGATCGGCCCTGATCGCCAGCCAGGCCTAGGGACCTTACCCATGCGCTAATTTCATGCCCTGGGCCATTAGTATAAAGAATAAACACATCCAATCTGGAGTCTCCACAACCTTCTCCAGGCCCATACCTGTAGGCACACATGCAGGTGTTTTTTTTTTGCTCAGATAGAATCATGCTATACCAGTTACTCTATCATTTGCTTTTTGTATTTGACAGTTTTCCATGGGCATTTCCATGAGTTAATCTTAGACATAGATATCTTTTTCCATCTAGTTGCTTTGTAAACACACATTTTATATAAATGGGATATTACCATGTGCGTGTTTTTAAAGTTAAGCCTTTTTTTTTTTTTTCTCCCTCCTCCTTTTCTTATCCTTCACTCCAAACACAAAGACTCCCGGCTGTGTTCCCAAACTAGGGTCTCTTTCTATTGTATTCCGTCTATGTACTTCCTACACACACTGTATCACATCTGATTTGAAATGCACCCTTTTTTCACAACTTAACATCTCTGAAACTGTGAAGTGTCTTATAATTAATAAAACATACATGGGGCCTTTTTACTCATTCTTTACAAAAAACAAGATTATCTTTTACATTTTCTTTTTCTACATTTTTTTCCCTCTTTTACTTTGTGGAAATCCCTCTAAGAAACTCTAATACTTTTAAAACATGTATTATAATATATTCAGTATCTCTCTACTGATGGTTATCTTTTTTCTAACATTAAAAAAAAAAATCGACAACAAAAATACTGGAATAAGCATTCTTGCTCATATATTCCATGTACCCGTGCTTTTATCTCCCCCAGGATAGATTCCAAGGAGTGGTATTTCTAGCTTTAAAGGTGTTAGATTTTTTACTTGAGTAGTGTTATCAGATTCCTTTACATAATGGTAGTAGCAATTTACTGCTGTTCTGGATCCTCACTCCTGCACAACCACCAGCCCAAATCTTAGTGGCTAAAGACAACACCAATCTATTACTTTACTCACGAGTCTGCAGTTGGAGTGGAATTCAGTGAGGGGATAATTTGGCTTTTGGATCTACATGTATATGAGACCACGCTAAGGTCTGGGGGGCTAAACAGCTGAGGGCTAGCCAGACAGCTCTCTCTTTCTCCATATATCCTCAGGGCCTCTCCATATCATCTCCAAAATTGAGGCCTCTCCCACAGGGCCATCTCAGGGCTCAGGCGGGAGCTGCAAGGCTCTTTACAGCCCAACACCTAGAATCCCTTTCAGTCACTCCCTTTGTATTCTATTTGTCAAGCAACTCACTGAGCCCAGTCAAGAGGAGGAGGAGGAAATCATTCATACATCTTCGGGGCAGGAAACAGGTAACTAGTTTCTGAATCTTTCTCAGCTTAGATCTTATCATTCTTTAAAAGTTCTGTCAATTTGACAAGTAAAAACTGGCAAGTCATTGTTACTTTTATATTGCCCTTGAAGATAGGTGAAGATGGACATCTTATGTGGCTGTTGGCCACCTGAGTCACCTCTTCTAGGAAATGCCTATTCATAGATTTTTTTTATCTTCTTAATAATTAGTAGGAATCTATTGTATATTAGAAATTTCATTTTTCATCTTGTCATACATGTTAGAAATATATACATATATATATAATTTTGACTTTGTTTTATGGTGTCTTTGCTGTATAATAAAATTTTTTGTGTGTAATACAATTTTGTCTGTCTATTCTTTCATGGCCCTAATTTTCTTTGTTGATTAGGAAAATATTAATAACCCCATCATTGTACACTTTTTAAATCTTCTTCTAATATATTTATTTATCTTTGTTTATTATTTTAGATTTAACTCAAATCTACCTGGAAATTAAGTTTTGTGTTAGTTTGAAGTAGGGTATACAGCTTTGTTATCTTATCGTCCCTGCAAGACTGTGAAGCCATTGTGAAAAAGCAAAGCCAGAAAGAACTGTGGGCTTTATTCAGTTATTTAACACATTCATTTAGTATCCACTGTGTGTCTGGGACTTTTTAGTTACTGGAGATGCAGGGTTATGCAAAACCAATAAGTCCTGCTTCCACAGTTTACTGCTATGGTTTGAAGGTTTGTATTCCCCAAAAATCCATATGCTGAAATGCTAATGCCCAATGTAATAGTATTAGGTGGTGGGTCCTTTGGGAGGTGACTAGGTATTGAAGGTGGAGCCACTATGAGCGGGGTTAATGTTCTTCTAAATGAGACTCCACATTGCTCCCTAGCCCCTTCCACCATGTGAAGACACAGCGAGGAGTAGGCAGTGTACCTACTCACCCAGAAGAGGGCCATGCTGGTATCTTGATGTTGGATTTCCCAGCCTCCAGAAGTGTAAGAAATACATTTCTGTTGTTTATAAGCCACTCTGTCTGTGATATTTTTGTTATAGCAGCCCAAACAGACTAATACACTTACTTACCTTCTACCAGGAGAAAGACAAACCAGTTGACAATGAAGCAGAATGAACTTGGCATTTTCAAGAAAAAGAAGAGAGAGAATCTGGTGCACAAGTGGGAGGTAGCCCAGTGAGAGCCCGGGACAACAGGGAACATGAGTGAGATGCAGGTCAGTTTGTGGAGGAACAAAGAGGGAGTTCTCATCTACTAGTTTCTTATTTTCAAGGAAGTAAGGAGAGCCAGTGCCGGGGTCCAACCCCAGTGGGTCCAGGGGTCCCCAAAGGTGTGGACGGAGTCGGCGAAGAAGGAAGGACACGGAGACAGCGTTCAGTTGATCAGCAGCCTAGCCAGGATCTCCAGCCAAGTTCTGTCTAGGATCTCCAGTGAAGTTCTGGTTAGGATCTCCAGCCAGGTTCTGTGTCCATGTTGTCTTGCTAGGTTCTCCAGCCAGGTTCTCCAGGTTCTCCAGCCAGGTTCTGTAGCCAAGTTCCCTCGCTAGGTTCTCCAGCCAGGTTCTGTCCAGGTTCTCCAGCCAGGTTCAGTCACCAGGTTCTAGTCAGGTTCTCTTGCCAATTTCTGTAGTCAGGTTCAGTCCAGGATCTTTTGCCATGTTCTCTCGCTAGGTTCTGTCTCTAGGTTCTGAGGCCAGTTTCTGTCCAGGAACTTTTGCCATGTTCTCTCCAGCGAAGTTCTTCTGTCTCTAGAGAACGTTCTGTGTAGGTTCTGTGCCTAGGTTCTGTCTCTCTTGGTTCTGTCTTCTAAGTTCTGTCTTCTAAGTTCTGGGTCTTGCTGTCTTGTTGCATCTGTATTTATACCAGTTGATTCAATCCTATCAATCTCTATTACAAAGGTTAGGGCGTTTCTTATCTTCATTCCAGGGAGTAAAGATTATGTAGCTTAAGCACGATTGTTTGTAGTTAAAGTGATTAATTACCCGCCTGGCACTTAGTTAAGAGGTTTTATTCCCTCCCTAACTTCAGGGGAAAATCCCTACCTGGGGAAACAACCTTTCTCGGAGAGGTGATCTTGGTTAAAACACATAGTGCCAAGAAGGTGAGCAAACATTTTAAGAACGGTATGCCATATATGCCAGGTCCCTTGAAACAGCAAGCATGGACCGGCTCCCGGCAAGCCAGCAGGATGCCCACTCCATTTGGAGGCTCTTGGGTACTTGGAATAATGAGGGGGAAAAGTAGCTTCTACTTAGAGGGTTACAGCGAGAAGTGTCATCAGGGCACAGTTAGGGCTACAAAATGGACACGAACCCATTGGAGAGTAGTGGCATTTGCTAATAATTGTGAGATTTAGGACACTGAGGAAGGGGTTGGGAAGGTGAGAGTGTGTTGGGTGGGGGGTGTATATGGGAGAAGTCGGGGAGGAACTGTGGAAATAGAGTCCTGGTGATATGGTGCTCTGGCTCTGTCATCATGTCGCCACAGAGGGAGGAGAGGAAAGCTGGAGCGATGGATTCACCTGAGAGTCTCAGGAAGACAGGCCACCGGCCCAGCTCCACTCCAAGTATGGGGCCACTGGACCGAATTCTCCCTCCAGAGCTGCGGCCTGCCTGGTGCTCACAGACCACAGAATCATTCTCATTCTCAGGATGCCTGGCTGCCATGCAGTCCCCTGGGGATTCCCAGTGTCTCACAAATAAAGAGATGGAATGCTCTCTCCATTCCTTCCCACTTCTACACCTTTGGACTCTAAGCAATTGGTTGCTAAGGGGTCGCCTGTGTGCAGTTTGAAAACTGCACGAGTGGTTTAGAGGACTACCAATAGCATTTAAACACAGCCACATCTTGAAATACTTTCACTTAAAATTTAATTTTTTTTGTGTGTTTTTTAAAAAAAATATGGAACGCTTCATGAATTTGCGTGTCATCCTTGTGCAGGGGCCATGCTAATCTTCTCTGTATCGTTCCAATTTTAGTATATGTGCTGCCGAAGCGAGCACAAAATTCAATTTGTTAATATAAAAATATTATTTATATGGAGGCAGGGTTGTATGATGGAAAGACCACAGGGTTGTGGAATCATATAAATTCTGTGTTTAAATCTAAATTCTGTCCCATACTAGCTAGGCAACCCTGGACACGTTAGTAAATCTCTTTCCTTCAACCTCAAGGCTCCTCATCCATTCAATATTTTTCTGTCTTGCAAAAGAGTGAAGAGTATTAGACAAGGACATTGGAAAGCATCTGGCACTTAATAAAGGGGAGCTGGCTTCTCGTCTCTGTTCTGAACATGAAAGTTTCAGGAAACACTTGCTACAAGCAGGAAAGAAAAAGAAAGAAAGAAAGAAAGAAAGAAAGAAAGAAAGAAAGAAAGAAAGAAAGAAAGAAAGAAGAAGAAGGAAGGAAGGAAGGAAGGAAGGAAGGAAGGAAGGAAGGAAGGAAGGAAGGAAGGAAGGAAGGAAGGAAGGAAGGGTCCTACAGAAGGAATAACGTTAGAAAAAGCCACTGAATGCTCTGAGATGAGTTTGAAAGGGGGACAGTGGAGCTCTCAGGGCCGCTGGCAGGACAGGGGTGGGAGGATGAGTGATAGGCCTAGGGAAGCATGAAGGAAGAGGCATGGGAGAGGTAATTGTGCAGAGGAAGCTAAACATACACCTCTATTTCAAACCAGGGCAATTCATTTGGGAAAGTGAAATTGAAGTAGCACCCACACCAGATATTAAGGCTGGAGTGACCGATGCGAGAAAGGGAGGGCTGATCAGGGCAAAGTCAGAGTGACCGCTGCGACGGGGGAGGGTTAGGAGGGTGGCTGGGCACAGAGCTCCCACAAGTGTCTGCAGATACGTGTGGCTCCCCAGTCAGAGGAGAGAAAGGCCAGGGGGCTTCAGGTGGGTTCCAAGGGCACTGCTACAATGAACTGAATTGATGATGTTGTCAAAGTCTAATTAAATATATTGGTAATTGATCTGAATATTAGGATTGGGGAATGATTTCTAGTTTATCTTTTAAAAATGAGAGATAAACCTGATCACTATTGCTCTTGGATTTCCCCAGTCATAGCTGCATGATCGGCTGTCAGTCATAGTCTGGGAATTCAAAAGAGGAGCACACATGGAGCAGAGACTTCACTCCCATCCTGAAGGACCTTCATCCTGGTCCCGAGGACTGTACCAGAACCTGCCTTCAGGACTGCACAAAGAAAAGGGAGGAGCCATTGTTACCGCAAACCCTGTGTCTTTGGGGCACAAGCGCATTTGGCCCCCTTTCCAGTATTAGTACCAATGGGATCAGCAAAAGCAGCAGCGCCTCCTCTGCACAGAGATCACTGCACAACTCCCATGTCAGGAGGAGGCCTGCAGGCAGTTTTTGAATGGTTCCCCGTGTCATCAAATTGACCCAAGTTGGAAGGAAAGAAAACGAAAGGGCAGGTGTATTAAGGAGGCCATGTGACTTGCTTTTATTTCCTTCTTGTTAATCTCTTTTTCTTTTCTCTTCTCTTTTCTTTTTCCTTCCTTCCTTCCTTCCTTCCTTCCTTCCTTCCTTCCTTCCTTCCTTCCTTCCTTCCTTCCTTCCTTCCTTCCATTCTTTATTATTGAAAATATTACATATGTCTCCTGCTTTTGAGAAAGCCCTGGTCAGGGTGTGATGTCTTCTTGGAGAATTACCTTCTTGATTATGGAAAACCCTTCTCGATCCTTGATTATCTTTGCTCCAGGTCTTTACACCAGCACACTATACCCATTTCCTATTAGTTTACTCAACTGCAATTTCCACCTTTCTCTCAACTAGAGTTTCAAGTACGGATTTCAAGTCTTAACATGTGAAACTATTTCACAGACTAATGAGGAAATAAGACAAGAGACATAAGACTAAAATGATTGCCTGTGGATTGTAATACTCCAGTTTTTCATCTAAAAAGTTGAATTTAAATGTTCTCCTCTGAGTAATTGGTGATCATGAACTAGAATGAGAATCTGATGACTTATTTCAAACTATCATTGGACTTGACTTCCTTCCATTGCCCCAATCCCTCTCTCTGACTCACACATATGACTGTGTCTTATTTACAACTCAGGCAATCTTATTTAAATTAAACAGAGTATTAAATGTAGATACACAGTACAGAGTGTAAAATCTTACACAGTTAATAATAAGCTTTCAGAAACCAAATTTTCAGTACTGTAAGAAATATAAAAAGGACAAATAAAATATTAGTCCCTTTAAAATAAAAAAAGGATTTTATATTTTATATTTATGGAGAAATTTCAAAAGAAATATCAGCAACTACTGAATAGGTATGACAGAAATATAGAGATATTAAAATTTAGACAAAATATGAAATATATAAAATATATGTGCATGTGGGTATATATGAAAGCCTATGCACATGTATAAATACATGATATGTTTCATATTATACTCCTAACTGGTCTCACAAATATTAATTAGCATCTCCTACTTGACAGGTATTATGCCAGACACTGGAATTACAAAGATGGATAAGACAGTCTCTTTTCTCAAGGAGCTCTGCGTCTGGAGAGGAAATGGATGCTGGACCACATTGTGCTGAAGATGCAACTAGGGGCATGAGGAAATGATTGTTGTAGCAGAGAGGAGGAAGCAGTGAATTATTTCTGAGGGCAAGGAAGGCCTCCAAGAGAAACATGGCATTTCAGCTTGGCCATCCCATTTCAGCAAAGCTTCCGTGGGATTTTTCTCAGCTAAGAGCGCAATGAAGGGCACTCCAAACAGGAACAAGAGCTGGGAGAATCGCCAGCATGTGTTGTTAGGGCAAGGAGGTATGTGAGGGGATGGGTTTGGAATGGTTCATGGTGCCAGAATAAAGGAATGTGGAAGGTGGATGGTTAAGGAGCCATATTCAAGTTAACACATTGAACTTTAGTATAGGTTACTGGGGGAGCCTTTCAAAAGTTTAAAGAGCAGCTTATTTGGAGCTGGAATAAAATATATTGGGGAGGGAGGCGACTGAAAATGGGAGGCAGTTAGGAGTGTTATCAGTAATAAGGCACTGAAGCAGAGGCAGTCCCTGAGCAGAGAGAAGGAAAGGATTCATTTGAGAATCAGCCCTGGCCGGGTGGCTCAGTAGGTTGGAGCATTGTCCCGTACACCAAACAGTTGTGGGTTCGATCCCAGTCAGGGGGCTACTGTTCGATGCTTCTCACATTGATGTTTCTCTCCCATTCTCTCTCTAAAATCAATACACATATCTCAGGTGAGGATTAAAACACACTTGAGTATTATTTGTGAGGTAAAAAGGATGCATTGGTGACGGATGAGATGTGGGCGTTGAGGAAGAAGGCGCTTCATAAATGTCTAAGGTGGGGAAATGGTTTGATGTGGTCAATGGAATATTTCCTCTCCCCACATACATCACGTTTCCTGCTCGGGTAGCAAAGGCGCATCACTGACCCTCCTTGTCCTTACATCAGTGTTGCTACTGAAGAAACAAAGAAAACGTCACTGCTGCTGGGTGTGATGCCAGGGCAGAGGCATGGCCATGCTCACTTTTCTATCCCCATATTCAGAATGCAATCAGACACATCCTGGTGTCCAATAAAGACCTGCTGAGTGAAAAACAAGATGACATGGAATTTCAAAGCGGAATTTTGGAGCTCATGGCATGGATGATAGCTTGAGGCCAAAAAGGGTTTCTGATTAAACGGCAGCTTAGGTTGCATCATCAAGGGCTGCGGTTCAGGCCTAAACAGAAAGCATATAGAATGATCTCCTCTCTGCACACACCAGATGAAACTCTTACAGGCTGGGTGGAGAAAGATGACCGGGCTCTGAGCCTGACACCTGCAGGGATTAGCTCCAAGGAGGGTGGTGGACTGATGGAGCTCACTGAAGTGTGGAGGCCGAGAGGGGGGAGAAGTGAGGCTCCCCTTTCCTTCTGCGTTCAGAGGAGTTTCTCACACGGGGAAGGCGTGACAGCAGAGATGCCCGGATGGCCTGGCCTGGCAGGGGCCTGAGAGAGCTCCCCAAGTGTCCAGCAACCCAGTGACACAGGACAGCATCTTACCTGAGACTCAGGAAGGAGAGAGCTTAGGTCATTCCTTCTTACTGCCTATCTGGGAACCAGAGCCTAAGGGAAGAAAGGGGAGAGAGCATACTGAAGGTTTGGGCATCTTCAAGTCTTCAGAGACTATGCAGTGATTAAAAATTCAAAAGCAAAAGATCTATGAGAAGTGTTTGGGGTTATGAGTTTGATTCCTAAGTTCAGACAATTTTTATATTTATTTATAGAGATATTTTATAAATGATTTGTGAAAAATATGTTAACTACACTATGACTAAACAGCAAAAAGTATTTACTCTCATCACCAGAAAGAAAACATTAACATTTATAAATTTGAATGTATTTACTTAAAAATAATTGGCAGGCACTGGGATTCTGGTTGTTCTATTTTGAAAGGTAACTACATATTCATTTTAATAAGATCTTATATCTTGATGATAGTTGGCAATAAATGCATCCTGAGTTGGCTCCCTAGAGTAATACATCAGAGATAAAATTCACTTGAAACCAAAGATGCTCGTTACATTCAAACACATTTAAATTCATTGATCTCCATTAATTACTTTACTAAAGACAATATACCAATTTTTTTTTAATCTTGATTAGTTTTAAAACTCCCTGATTTGCTGATCCTGATACACAATCTGTTACTTGTTCTTCCCTATTCTATTTCTGACCCAGTCTCTAAGGGACCAACATTTTTAAGATCATAAAGCCTTGTGTTTGTGTGCTAATTTTGTTTTCTAACGATTTTCAGAGGTTATTTTATTATAACCCTACTAGTACTGTGAGGCCAATATTTAGATCCTAGTTTTAAACATAAGCTAATAGGCAAACAGAGGTGAGTGCCTTGGGAAGGTCACCAGCATGGCTACCACTAAAAGACAGAATACTGGCCTTGCAATGCAGGCCAATGTGCTTGGCATTTAAAAGGAGCTACAGATGGCTGAAACCGGTTTGGCTCGGTGGATAGAGCATCAGCCTGCAGTCTGAAAGGTCCCGGGTTCGGTTCCGGTCAAGGGCATGTACCCAGGTTGCGGGCACATCCCCAGTGGGAGATGTGCGAGAGGCAGCTGATTGATGTTTCTAACTTTCTATCTCTCTCCCTTCCTCTCTGTGAAAAATTAATAAAATATATATTTTTTTTTTTAAAAAAAAGGAGCTACAGATGATGCCTACTTACAATAAAATTAGAAATAAAAGGCAAATACAATTACCTAACAATTAACCAATAGTCCCTCACTGAGCTTTGGTTATCAAAGGGAGTAAACTTTCCAATATATTAACCTGTCTGCTTCTTATCTAAGGCTTTATCCATCACGAAAATGAACCTTTGCAAGACCTTAAGTTTTCCCTTCTTACAGGGCGCTCAGACAATGTGAGACGTGACTGCCACCATGTGGGCAGAAATAGTATATAGACTTCCATAATTACCATATTCTTTATTCTGAAATGCAATGAAAACAATGATTAAAAGATGAAAATCTGCTTTAAGTTTTATTATTTTAGATCCAATAATGAGACGTTCATTTTTGGTACAAGTTGTTGGACACTGATAACTAGCAAAAGCCTTGCTACTCCAAGTACCAGTATGTCCCACGGACCAGCAGAATCTGTATTACCTGGGAGCTTACTAGGGATGCAGAGCCAGACCCCACCCTGCATGCCCTGAATCCGAATCGGCATCCCTGAAGATGCCCAGGGGTTACCTGTACACACTACTGGCCGGTAAGTGCCATCTACAGCTGGCATCTGCCCCCTGGACTCTCATTCCCTACTGTGTCCCCATCCAATGCAGGGGCAGGTGACTTACTAAAAAGTTCAGATAAGAAAAATGCAGCTAGTCTTGAATCACTTTATTAACTTGATGTTCCCTTTGCTTAGGTCAAATTAATGGATTATCTCCACAATTCAGAGAAAAAAAATTAAAACAAATTTTCCAGAAAAAAAGGGCTTATTTAGTTTCAGGAGAGATGAGAGTATTTTATTTTGCCCAATCAGAGCCCTTCAGCATAAAGAGACATTCATATACATATATATGAACATTTTCCAGAAACAGTAATTTATAATACATTTTTTAAAATACCAGTTTAATGGTATTTATTTACAAAAATATTCCATTACCTAATTTTAAACCTTTTTCTGTGATGACAGTTTTTAAAGTACAGGAATGCAAAATAACTACAAAGTTTACCACACTTTTAGTGTTTGCAATAGTGCTTTTTTGACTTTTTCAAATGAAATAGTACACAGAGATGGGTTGTTTTTTAATCGTATTTCAAATGCATATTCCAGCAATCACCTCTGAGATAGTTACTGGACTGAGCAAGATATAAAAAAAAGAAAAAGAAAGTGCAGCAACTGAACACTACCTGCATGTACAGGTTTACGGTCGACACAAGCTAGAGCTCCACACAAGCATGCTGGCCCCTGAATGAGAGAAAAACTTCATCTTGCTCTTTTTAATAATTTTTGGTGATGCATTCATTTACAATGAACCAACAGTTTAACTAGAAAGCAAAATGTTTTTCTGGTTCTAACTACCATGTAAAGCAGAGGTCACACCTAAAGTATCACGGTACTGTTTATTTACAAAAAAAAAGTAATTAAAAAAACACGATTACCCTCTTTGCATTTCTTTCTATTAATATCAGTCTGTTGTCAACTCCTTACATTGTCTTAAGTTGAAGCAAAGTTTAAACAACACAAAATACATAGCAAAAATATTAAAAAAACCCAAAACTTGCAAATAAATAGGATTCCATTGCCATTAGCCTATATCCATTTTAAATGCCTGAGCAAAAATAATCTACAATAAATACTGATTTATTTACATCTCACACTATAAAATTTTAGTTTAAACTATGAGCCTCATTGTGAAATACTGGCAAAACTGATAATCATGATTTTTCTGATGTAAAGAGTGTAATAAAAAGAGCAATTAAATGTAGCCCTAAACTACTGTACTCAATTTGTAAATGAATTGTGCTCAATAATTTAAGACTATTAATAACCAAAGAAAGCAACGTGATAACCCTGATAATTGGGGAGTTATTAAAACCCATTTAATTCAGCTGAGAAAGGTAAACTAAGGTTTCCCCTTTAATTTTTGTTGTCACAACTATTTTTGCCCACAGAACCTTTCAAACTTGTTACAGTCCTAAAATCATTAATATTCACAGGAAAAATAATCCCCATGGTACTTTATAAGAAATTGATCAGAGTGATGAAACTGTGTAATTACAGTATAATTAACAAAAGCTGTAAACAGTATCTTCACATTAATTTTTAAATGAGAAAAAAAGATGGGCATAAATATCAATCCAAGAGACCAGAGACTTTAAAAGGGAAAAGGAGAAAAAAAGAGGACACTTAAGATAGAGGAGTGCTCTTTTTCAAACTAAATACAGATTAAAAATTCTAGGAATATTGATCAACAAATTCTATAAACTACAAAATAAAAACCTTCATTGACAAAAATACATAAACTCTGTTTTCATTTTTTGGAAATTTATTTTTAAAAAAGGTAGAAGAAAATACCTGGAAAACTATTTTAAATATATATATATTTTAAAACAATAGTTAAGGTAGGCATCCAACTTAGCAAGCTGCAGCTATTGAGAAAGATCTTGCAAAGATTGTTGTGGGCATTTTCTCCAAAATAAAGTTAATATTTGAAAATGCTCAATAGAGGGTTTTACATAGAAATAATCTCTTTCCTGTCATGTGTGAAGACTTTTGAATGATGTATGATTCTTTAAAATTAATTGTATCTCGATATGAGATACCAGTATTTCTTATTATAAGCGTGAAACGTAACTTTTTTGTATGGAAAATATACATACTTTTTAAGTACTGTGACTTAAACTTAACAAGTTCACCATTTTTAAAATTAAAGAGTACATTTATAAAAATTCCATTTTAAAACTAAAAGTATATTCTCTAGCAGTATGTATAAATATAACATTACTGGATGATCTTAAAACAAATCTGAAAGTGTTGCAGTAATTTTAAACCTAGAACACTGAAACGCACAGCAAATGATTTTACTTTTTATTCTTGAAAACTGTATAAAACCTATTAAAGGTTTTAAAACTATGATCAGTTTAATTGTTTAAGATGCAGCTAGCAGCATACTCATGATTTTGGTATGTTTTTATACATATGTATCACTTGATTTGAACTGAGAAATGTGGATTAAATGATAAAAAGTTTTCATTACCTAAAAAAGTGCAGAAAAATTCAAGTTTAAAGTTCAGTGCTCTTTATTTTGAAAGAAAAAATAAACAAAATCTCAAAAGTTAAAATGTAAAATAAATCTTTGACACAAAAAAGTTACCTTTGGATATAGCTTTTCTAATGTCACATGAGAAAATGCCTTAAGCAAAACGTATATGGAATATAAAACTCAGGGTGAACTTTAAACGCCGTGGTGTCTTCCACATTTTTTTCCTTTCCTCAGCTGTCTTCCCAGCGCCCCCTATAACCTAAAAGTATGTAACACTTTCAGACTTGTTTGAAACACTCACATATCTACATGAAATAACTTCAGAGGTACCTACAATTAAGTTCTAAGCAAAAGAAACACTTTTCTTTAAAGTACTGTACTTAATTAAGCTGTAATATACTACACAGAACATAGACAAGTAGCAGCATTTTTTCACATCCATATAAAAATCAAATTAAGTTAGCAATAGCTCGGTTTTATATCTATAACCATTTTTGGAAACACTCTGTACAATTGAAATGCAAACCAAAGGGATTAAGATGATGCAAAACTTTAAATGGCTATAACACACAGAATTTGTCAGAATATAAGATTTCGAATAACTAAGCAAATGCATTTGGATTTTAGTCTGAAAAGTGAAATGAACTAGATATATGGTACATACAGGGAAACCACTTCCTATTCACAGACTGCTAATCAATGAATACTTCAATGCTTTAGAGCCAAGGACAAATGCAACAAAGAATAATGTTTGAGGATATGAAGGAAGCACACGTAATCTTTCATTTTTCTAACATTTTCTACTTTGACTTTTTTTTTTTTGGTTTGTTCTCCTGAATTCTTGGCTTGCTGGTGACTATTTCTGCATTTAAAAAGAAAAAAAATAGAGATGTTATCTCTCAAATTACAATAAATTCCCTGGGTTAGTTATTCCTGCAGACTGTCTCTTATCTAC